GGAGATGCATCTTTTAATCACCAAAGAATAATTTTCTTGAAGCCAAAGCATTTTCATCTTCGAGTAATGAAATAAACATTAATTGTTGATTCAATCCTTGTGAAATAAATCCAATCAAATATGTCTTTTGATCTTCTTATTCACAATATTAAGAATCCTTCTTCTAAGTCGCAAGATATTTCTAAGTTTGAGTTCAAAAACAACCTACTCTATTTTGAAGGTCGATTATATGTTCTAAAAAGAGAAGCATGATTACGTTTTCTTTAAGTATGTTATGACTTTCGAGCAGTAGGACATTTTGCATACAACAAGACTTTGAAGCTTATATCTAGAGATTTTTGGTGGCCATAAATGTGAAAGGATGTGAAAGACTTTGTTCAGTCATGTAACATTTTTTCAAGATCAAAAACTCCTCATCATCGACCTTACAAACTTTTTCAACCATTACCTATTCCAAAACAACCATGGTCTTCAATTTCTATGGATTTTATCACGAATCTTTCAATCTCAAATTCTTATGACTCTATATTCGTGATAGTAGATCATTTTACCAAAATGGAATATTTTATATAATGTATAAAATCTATCACAGGTAAAGAAACAGCTAAACTCTTTCTTGACAACATCTATCGCTATCATGAATTATCCAAGGATATCTAATAGAAGAACTGAGTTTGTATTAAGATTTTGGCGGACTCTTTTTAAGATTTTAAAAATGGATATAAAACTATCTTTGGCATTCCATCCTCAAACTGATGAATAAACGGAGCATGTTAATTAAGTTTTGGAATAATATTTAAGATGTACCATCAACTACCAACAAGATAATTAAAAAACTCTTTTGCCATTGGAAGATTTTGTTTATAATAATACAATACATTTTTCTACAAAATAAACATCTTTCTTTGCCAATTTTGGTTATCATCTACCACTTGATACTTTTGACTTTTCAAAAGCTGATAATCCTATGGCAAAAGATTTGACAAATCATTTGTCATAGCTACATACAATAATAAAGGCGTAGTTAAAAGAAGCTCAAGAACAAGAATAGATCAATGCAAATGTCTATTAAAAGGAATAACAACCATTCTACATAGGTAATAAGGTATGGTTACTTCATGACAATATCAAGACTATTCGTCCTTGTAACTAGTTGGACTATCATAAGTTGTGACCATTTCCTATTTTTACACAAATTAATCTAGTTGCATATCGTTTATACCTATCGGAGTCAATAAAAATCCATCAAGTATTCCAAGTATCTTTTCTTGAACCATATAAGATAGTGGACATACCAAGAAGAAGTCAAGCTCTACCTCCTCTTATAGAAGTGGACAATAATAAAGAATTCAAAGTGGAAGAAGTTTTAGATTCAAGGCGGCGCCAAAATAAATTAGAATAACTTGTCCATTGGTGTGAATATGATATTAGTGAATGCACATATGAGCTAGTACAGAATCTTGCAAATATGGCAGAAGCAGTGGAGGCTTTTTATTAATGATATCCATCAAAATTAAGTTGAAAATCTTCTCTATTAAAAAAAAAAAAAAAAAAAAAAAAAAAAAAAAAAAATCTAGGCAAGATAACATTCTACTTTCAATCCTTGTTTGCAACTTCTTTGTAGTTGTGATACTAAGGAGATGGAGAACCAACAACTAGTGGATTTGACTGAGGAGCCTTCATTTGCTCAGCTACCAGACAAGAAACTGTAATTGTCACAACCTTTAAGATGATGCAATCGAGATGAAGATCCTTAAGAATGACATATTTTTCCTCGAATAAATGGCAAGATATAACATGTTTAATATCACGACCTTGGAAGCGACTCCCAATGTTTGGTAATTTTATTAAAGGTAGAAACAATTCTTCATAGTGTTCCAAATATTTTATTTGAAGGAAGTTATGAGGGCCTTAACAATGATCAAATAACAAGGTGGTCTTTCTGCCCTAGTATACGATATTATTAATGGTTGAGACGCCCTATCAAATATCTTCGAAGAAGCCAAAGATCTAAATATGTAGCAAATATAATTCGTCACATCATAGATTTCCTCAACATATGATGACTACTCCTCATGGAACTCGTTCCTAAAAGAAGGAGTAATGTCATGGACATATACATGTAAGCCAATAATTACTTGTATAAATAAGTAAAAATAAATAGAAGTAGGTAAAAATATGTTAATTCTATAATATCTTCTATAAAATCTTCTTAAAAACTTCATAGATATTGATTTGACTTTACAGGTATCTATAATTGACTTTTTGGATTAAAAAAGTGGTCAACAAGTTGTCCATAAGCTACACATGTTGTTAGCTTGAAGACCAAGCTAATTATGTGGCCTATACATAGAAAAACTTACCTTGTAAGTCAAGGCATGTATCCTACAAAGTCAACACATATTGGAGGTCGAATAGAACATTGCCATGTAATCCCTAATTAGATAGTATATATAGAGACAAGAGTGAAGGCCTCTTCACTCTTGTCAACTCCTTTCTTGCTTCTAGTTTAGTTTCAAGAGTCTTAATTTTTCATATCTTTTGGCAAAAAACTATTCCAATTTTTTTTTTAATATATATACTTTCTTATTTCTATTTTGTTACTCTTTCTTTGATATGTATTTCATTGGTTTATGCATCACCTTTTAATTCATGTCCTTGACAATTACTTGACTTGTTTCTCTCTAGCCAAGTTTTTATTTTTGATGCCTTTCAAATAATCAATTGTCGCATGAAATGGCTTGAGCAATAAATTATTCAAAAAATTCTACTTTTGGCATTATTAATAACAAATCTTTGATGCTATTCTTCAATCCATATTGAAATTGTGTTTTGTCATTCTAGTCTAGGTCGCAAGCAAGGTTTTAGAATTTAGCAGTATATGTGGTAGCTAATCGTGATCCTTGTCATAAAAATAAGAGTTAAGTCTCTACTACTCGTTCTCAATCACTTTCTCCAAATGTAGCCGTTAATACTTCTAAGAATGAATTTAAATTATAAAGAAGTCTTGAATCTTTTTCTATCAAAGGTACAAATCAAAAAAGAGCACTTTCAGATAGAAGTGTGCCTATGAAGCGGACTTAAGTAAATCCATCCACATACTGGAAAAGGTGTAACCTTAAGTAGAGCTTTTGTTGTAAAAACCCTTGAAATTTTGATCTTGTTCCATTAAACTTCTTGAGTATATTAATTCTTGTCTTTCTTGAGCTTATAGAAGCAAGACTATGTAAATTTGGTTGTCAAGCTAATCAACTTGTTTCCCTCAATTACAGAACTTCTTAATGTAGATTCTACATTTCTTCCATAGATATAGAAGTAGTACTTCCATAGTTGACGTTGGTGATGCAAAAAAATTCTTCTCTAAGAGTATTGATAAACTCATGAAGATCCACAATAGTTATAAATCTATTCTCATTTCAGCTAGAAATAGTATCTATAATCTTTGCTTCCATAGACAACTCAAACAAATCCAAAAAATCAAATTAAAGGAAGATAATCTCCAACTTCTAGAAAAAATTTTCACAAAGAAGAGTAATCTATTCTCTTTAAGAAAAAGATTAATATTAGAAAATTTAAAAAAATGTTTAAAGGTGGGTAGTCCGCAACCTTCAAAACCCAATAGTAGAAGTAGAGTAATTCACTCACTTCTAAAACAAGATAAAATCAGTATATTAGCACTCTTGTCAAACTGTCAAGGCCATGAATCTCAAAGAAAAAAAAAATCCTCAATACACTCTTGTGTCATTGAAGGGAACTAAAAAGTCACTCAAAAGGTGATGTAAAATTAAACTAAAATAGCTATTGCCAAAAATAAGAAGACTAAAAAGTCTTGAAATAAGACTAAAGACTAGAAAGGCATTGATAAGAGTGAAGAAGGCTTCACTCTTGCCTCCATATATACTCTCTAACTAAGAGCTACGTGGTAATATTCTATAGGACCTCCAACATGTGTTGACTTTGGTAGCCACATGTCTTAACTTACAAGGCAGGTTATCTACGTATACACCACATAGTTAGCTTGTTCCACAAGCTGCTACATGGAGTTAACTTATTCCATAAGCTATCAACACATGGTTTTGTTGGCCAAGTTTCTAACCTATAAACACATCTAAAGTCAAAATTGCATCTATGCAGCTTCTAGGAAGCTGTACTAGAAAACTTTATGAAATTAATCTATATTTATCTACTTCTATGTAATCATATAAGTAACTATTGAGGTAAATGTATATGTTCATGACAAAAGGCTACATTAGAAGCAATTTATAACTTAGCACTTAGGCCATAAGTCTTATGGTCTTTAAGAAGCTTCCACAAAGTCTTTTTAGTAGCAAGTACTTATAGAAGTACTTAAAAAAAGTAATTGCAATTAATAATAGCATGCAAAACATTTTTTGAAGAAAAGCACGCCACAAATGGCGGTAAAGGCATGGAAAATCTGCCCTATCGGATTCCAAGAAAGTGAAGAAATGCAAAGTGAAAAGAACAAAAGAACAAAAATTGAAGCTCATGGCAGGTGTCAAGTAGGCAAACTTCCATGCAAACGGGATCACAGAAACCAAGAAACCGAAGGCCGAATGGAAGGGGAAGAGCAGGAGGTGAAATTTGAAGGGTCAACGATGGCGCAGTATAATCGACGAGGAGAGAGTTCTTCGTCGTAGAAGCTGATGAAAGGGAAGCCCATTTCACCTTTAATTCTGCCGGCCCCGACAACTCTACAAGATGGATATGAATTCAGTCAATCTCTGTCCACTTGACTGCCACCACCGCATTGCCTTTGCCTCACCCCTTTTCTCGTCCGAAGTTGTTTTTGCTTTCAGGGGGTGGCGTGTAAAGCGGCGCAAGTATCGTGGACGGGAGTGAGGCGTGAGGCTTGCGTTGCGTTGCGTCGCGTGCGGCGATGCGGTAGCGTGACCAATTCATTCAGCTGCCAATCCCTTCTCGAATTGGTGTTCACCGTGGTGCGAGCTTCAGTTTTGGCCACGTGTGGAATTTAGGTGTGTTGCTTTTGATGGTTGGTTGGAGTTCGGTAATTCGTTGCTGAGCTTGCTCGTCTGGATCCAATTCGCGGGGAATAGTATGTTTGTGGCGTCTTTGAGTGCTGAGTCTCTGTTTTAAAATGCTTGGCAAACACGGGGAGAGAAAATGGTGATTGCATGTGGGGGCTTCATCAGTGTCGTCTAGGATTCCTATTGCTCGATTCCGGGGTTTGACATCTTTGCTTTGTGGTTCACAAGTTCGTGTCGGTGGGAGGATTGCTAAGTGCCAACCCAAAGTTGGAGGTGACATGTAGAATGGGTGGGATTTGAGTGGGATGTGGACTTTCCGCATGGTTCTCGGAACGATCGTTTGAAATTCTTCGGAAGGAGTTTTGTGTGAGATTGCCAGTGTGCATCTGTTTGGAGCAGAGATGTGAGCTGCAAGGCCCGGCACCACAACCCTCGTTCTTGCTTAGATGTATCGGGTTGTGTTTTTAGGGTCTCTGATTTACACGTTTTTCCAACAAAGATTCCTCTGGACATGGAAGAAGTCTGTCGTTTGCAGCATCAGTAAACATAGGTTATTGTGAACCGTGATCAGCAGGGTTTTATCAAATTACTCATGTTAGCAGTATCAGGTGCTTCGGTTCAATTAGCCTGCCAATCACTTGCATAGTTGTTTTTATAATAAGATTTTCGACTGACATGGCTTGGACAATTTGTGCAGTGCAAGAGGGTTTATGCTGCTGAAACGGCTCGTTATGAGAAGGTCCTAGGAGGTCTTATATTGCGAGGGTAAACTTCTGACAACAGTTCCAGAGCATAGCAAGCTGCTTTCGCGTTGAGCTGCATCTTCATTATGAGAATGGGCAATGGCTCCCCGAAGGTGAATGGAAACCTGGTGAAGCCGTCTGAGTCAACCCCTCTTCTCCCTCATGGGAACGTGCATCACCGGGCTCTCTCCTCCTCATGCAAGACTTTCTTCAACATCGTGATTACGGTAGTGGGAGCTGGGGTATTAGGACTACCTTATGCTTTCAAGCAGTCAGGATGGCTCCAGGGATTGCTCATCCTGGCAGGAACCTCCGCAGCAATGTACTACTGCATGATGCTTCTCGTGTGGTGCCGACGGCATCTTGAGAGAGAGGGGATCGTTGGCAGTGTCGACACGTACAGTGAGCTTGGGTACCACACTCTTGGAGCGGCTGGACAATTCGCGGTGGACGCTATGATTGTGCTTAGCCAGGGAGGGTTTTGCGTTGCATATCTCATCTTCATCGGCGAGAATTTGGCCTCAGTGTTCGCTAGGGAAAACTCTCTTACTTCGCCGCTGCTGAGTTCGCATGACGACCCCACTAGAGCTCTTGCAAGTGTCTCGGGAATGGGTTTTCCAAGACTGGATTGGAAGAAGAAAGAAGTTTATGTATGGATTGTCTTACCTTTGCAGGTACTTCTGGCGTTTATCCGCTCGCTCACCCACCTCGCTCCGTTCAGCATGTTCGCCGACATTGTCAATGTAGCTGCCATGGGAGTGGTAATGACTACCGAGTTCGCAGCCATCGTGACAGGCTCTGGTGAGCACGTCGTAGCGTTCACAGGGCTGAAGAACCTCCTATTCGCTATAGGAGTGGCCATTTATGCTGTTGAAGGCATCAGCCTGGTGCTTCCTTTGGAATCGGAATACCAGGAACGGCCTAAATTCGCGCGCATCCTAGCTGCCGCAATGTGCTTCATCACGTTTCTGTACACCGTGTTCGCTCTTCTCGGCTACCTCGCATTTGGCGACTACACCAAAGATATCTTCACCCTTAACCTCGGAAATTCATGGCAGACTGTGGTTGTAAAATTGTGCCTTTGTACGGGCCTGGTCTTCACATATCCCATGATGATGCACCCGGTTTACGAAGTGGCAGAGCGCCGTCTTTCTTTGCGGGGCAGTTCAAGTCAGGTACTTCGGACTCTCATTGTGCTATGCACTGCGTGGATTGCAGTTTCAGTGCCGCACTTTGGCAGCTTCCTATCACTCGTGGGGAGTAGCGTCTGCTGCTTGCTTTCGTTTGTGTTGCCGGGGTGGATGCACCTCCGAGTGTTTGGAGATTCATTGTCGCTGGTGTCTCGGAGCCTCGACTGGTTACTTATAGTGGGTGGAGTCGTGTTTGGAATCCTCGGCACTATGTCTTCTATCAACGATATCAGATGGTGATCACTGATTGCTTGTGAATGGTGCGGTGTGGCTTATAAAATATTTCACCTCAATGTACGGAGGCTTCTATTCTCGGCGATGTGGGAGAAATCTAAGGAAGGACTTGGCCAATTTCGTCACTGGAGGTGCCTTTTGGTCAGATCATAAAACTTTTAAATACTTTCAATTGTTGTTGCGGCATTCATTGCTACAAATGAAACAGGTATTTAGGAAACCTGTATACAATCTTTGCTCAAAGGAGTTGAAGATTCGTTGCACATCAGTTCCTATGACAGCTTACCAACTGAAATGTGAACTGCTCAAGCTTAGTATTTGAGTATCTTAAGATGTTGGAGATCTTCTATTCTGCGAATTGTATATCAGAAAGTGAAATTCCAGTATAATCGTCATCAATTCTTTATGTGTAGGAACTTACTTTACACCAGCTGCAAAAATGTGGCGGCTGAAGAGTAGCGTTCATTTTATCGCAAATGCCGTCGGGTCTACCCGGCAGTGGTTAAAGTAGATCAGATAGGATACCAAGTTGATGAGCACCTACCGAAAAGGCTCACTTCATCGATGATTTTTAGGTATATTTTCATAGAAAGAAGCACCTGCTTCAAGCTTCCAGATCAGAAAGATAGTCTCAGATTATTCATGTTTCCACTGATAACCTGAGTGTTCAGAAACAATTTCTCGACCAGGGGATATCACTCGAGAAAAAAGGATTTACAATGAAACAATAGTCACATTGCACAAGACATACAAACGTTGCATCGGATTAATACTAAGTAGTGACGGCAATATAAAACAAAATATCTAATCACGTCAACACCTGTTTCAAGGAAATTCTACGAATATAAATTTAATCGAGTGGACAAGAACATGTGTTGACGTCACACAAACTAACATGACACTGACGCTTGGTGCTGCTATGCGAACTATGTCGGTGAAGAAAGTGATGAAGCTTTCCACACAAAATATTCCTACCCATTCAAACTTTATAATAAAATAAGTTAGACTAACTTCCTTCAATTTTAGTACACCCAAATCGATGCACACAGAACATGAATAAGCAAATAATCAGATCTAGATAGGAAGAACCGATTTCGAGTTTGTAAAAATAAAATAATACCACCTTCACTAGGATTTCATAAGAAATACAGCTGCGGCTCTGCTTGACCTAACCTACTCTTTTGTTCTTTTACCTACTATAAGTTAACACCTCATGACACCTTTCCCTCCAGTTTAAATACTCAGAAAGCAAATTATTCCCTATACTATCAACGCATGCACGAAACATGAATTCACGTCCTTCAGAAATGCTACGCAGCGGCTCTATAAAGACATACGTATCCGTGCTGTGCACCAACAGGAGAATTGACCACATTCCTAAGACGGGACAAAACTTGGCGAAGAAAAACTTCATTATTGGCTTCCAAGATATTGGTTAAGACGTTCATAATTACATGGAAGTGATAGTTCAGTGAACAGTGAAAAGAATTCAGCATAACCACCTCAGAATTTATAAAAAACCAAATTGATTACCATCAGTAGCAGACACAATCCAATACAGTATTGCTGTTTCCTGTTCGAGCAACCAAGGGCATATTTTGATGGGGAAAGCGGCAAGCCGGACTGAACCCAGAAGATACACATGAGCACAATACACATTTAAGAGTTCCTAGAATTTGCTGAGAAAATCCAATGTGTAAGGACCTCGGAAAACAAAAGACATCGAAACAGGCTTCAGTCAAACTGAAGTGCATCTCACTCGCCGACAAGGGTAGCTAGGACGCATGGCAACGCAACTGAAGTGTGCACAGCTCGAATACACTTAAGAAACTCGAACAAAATTTGACACAGATCTGACTTTTTTTTTTTTTACTCCACTCCAATGACTGCTCTTAAAAATCTCTTTCGAACCCTCGCATTCAAGCTACGCAAGTGCTCAGGAACAATGACGGCCAAAGAGTGTAGTTGGGCATGGAGCTGTATTCAAATAGCTACATCCAGGAAGGCGAAAAATAAGACCTTCGGGATCAACACATGATAAACACTCTATCTCTTCTTGGACACTCCGACGGTTCTACCACGTCTTCCAGTTGTCTTGGTGTGTTGACCACGTACACGCAAGCCCCAGTAGTGACGAAGACCACGGTGGTTCCTGCATGATCACAAGACGGCATCTCCAATAAGACCATAATCGCCCTCACATACTGCATGATGCGAAGCCTAAAAATATCTAATACATTTCATATCCATGAGACCACTCACCTAAAAGCTACATACTACCAACATGAATTGACATTTGAAAGCGAGAGTTCATACAAAACCCGAAAGTTAATATCATAAATAGACGTCAAATAAAATGTCTTAAATCACACCTGATCTTCTTCAAGCGCTCAAGATCGTCCCTCAGCTTCATGTCCAAGGCGTTGGAAACAACCTGGGAGTAGCGACCATCCTTGTGGTCCTTCTTTCTGTTCAGAAACCAATCTGGGATCTTGAACTGGCGAGGATTGGCAACGATCACCATCAAGTTCTCAAGCTCAGCCGCGGACAGCTCACCGGCTCTGAATGGGATTGCATACTCAAGTAAGAAAAGCGAATTCTTTGGACCCGGGCGATTACCACTTAGAGAGAAGTAGACGCCAGAAACCCTAAACTCTAGCATGCAGCAGCTGACACGATCTCGGATATATGTACTATCGATGAAGGATAAGCATTGCGTGATACAAAAAATATTTGTAAAAACTCCGAATCAACTCATAGTAAGAAACTTCAGGAATATAATACGCACCTCTTGCTCATGTCAACATCGGCCTTCTTGCAGACCAAATTCGCAAAACGACGTCCAACTCCCTTAATGGAGGTCAAGGCAAACATAATCTTTTGACGTCCATCGACGTTAGTGTTCAACACACGAAGAATGTGCTGAAACTCCTCACCCGCGATCAGCGACTGGCCACAACCGCCACCAACCTCAGTCACAGCCCAATTAACCCTAGCAAACGATCATTAACCTAAAAATTGAAAAAACAAAAAAAAAAAAAAAAAAAAAAAAAAAAAAAAACACACCCAGAACTCAGTACCAAACAAAAAACGACACCACAGATATACGCAACAGCAGAGGAGCACAAACCATGGTCGGCAAGAAGCGAAGTGTAGCGAAAGGCTGGCGATGGCGCAAACGCTGAGGCGACAGGGGCCTAGAACAGAAAGGGTATCCATCGCCAGCAGCAAGGACTTTCTAGGGCTGTCCGAAATACAACCTTCTGTTCATCCAAAAATCCAAAACATCCATCCAACAACTATCCATTGAAGTCAACACTTATTAGTAGATCTAGAAAATTGATTTCATTTCTGAACCCAAAATCAACTAAACCTCAAACCTTCAGTTTTGAACAAAAACGGGCAAGATTGTACGTTTTTGAAGTGTATTTGGTAGATGCAGAAAGCAGTCGAGTTTCTCGAAGAGAACGATCTGTCTCGGTGTTGGCAAAGGTGCCCTTTGTATTTGCTGTCCAGCGAGTGAAATAGCATTTTAGAAGCCTGGAGTTGGTGCCGTGGCGTCAATAAGTGCCTGTAGAGGTTGAGGAGCGTCATGCGTGGCTATTTTCTCTGAGATCGGCTGTTGATGATGCTCCATGGACGGAAGATGCTGCTGCTGTGAGGCGGTGCGGTGGAGGCTGCCGAGTTTCGTCCATTGAGACCAATGCTGTAATTACTTCTTGGTGAGCATTGAACATGGACATTGGTTTGTGCGCTGGACTATGGGTTTTTGAAATTGCGGTTGCTTTGGGGAGCAGTGGAATAATTTAAGGGGAGGGCTATGGTGGAGGGATTTTGATATTTGGGATGGTTTGGGGATTTGGGGGAGGGAGGGGCGTGATCGATAAAAACAAATTTGGGAAGAGTTGATTTCGAGAAGAGGGTTGGGGGTTTAGGGGAGGAGGATGCCGAATCAGCATCGGGGTAGTGGTGGCGCGCGCGGAGGACATGACGAGGAGCGTCTACAGCAACTTATTGGCCGAATGCGCACCGCATTACAGCTGGGTTTGCGGCCTTCGTCGTACGTATCCGCTCGTTGTGTTTTTATTATTCTACTTCTTGCTATTTCTGGTGCAAGAAGGAATTGTTTGATTCTGGATTTGAGAATTGTGGGCACGCGATCCTTTTTTGTCAATTTAGGTAGTTGAATGGCACGGGTTTTGTCTTTGCTTCTGAAGCAGGTCATGAATATAGCTGCGTGGTTGGAAATGTTGTTGCAGAAGGAAGGATGGAGAATTGAAGTGGGGAAACACAGATGCTCAGGTTCAGGGGCAGGCTGTTCGTGCAATTGCAGCTTTTGTGGCAGTAATACCACCCCGTTCCTTCTCCTCGTCACAGTTACAGGTGGTTACCTCATTAATGCTTCTTCAAATTCCTGTTGATTATACGTGTGAGCCTCCGGTGGAGAGCTTCAAGTATTTTTCTAGATCCTCATTGGAAGTTTTACCTATTTATGTTTTGATCTTCCTTGAGTCCTTTATTTCATCCAGACTGAGATTCTTGAGTTCTTTATCGAAGTGTATAGTGTTTTCAATATCTAGGGGTGATATCGTTTTCTTCAGTCAAGTATGAACTCTGAAACCCCTTAGTGGTCTGCGAGGGCATTTTGTGCTACAATTGGCTGCTACTGTGTATTCACAGCTCTGTGCCAAATTGGTTGCATGCCTTCAGTTCCTGACTTCCTGGTTTTGCATGAGAAGAACCTCGGGTACCCAATGATGTCTTTAGTTGTCTGTTGTGTAATAGGATGTTTGTGGCAGTAGAAAATGCCTCACGCAACTGGATGTCACAAGCGTGGTATTGCTCATCTTCCTCTTTACAATGTCGACGTTGATATATTTTTCAATGGATCTCGATGCAGGTACATTTAGAAGAAGCCGTGGCAGCTCTGGAGTATCTGCTATCAGTCGAACATAACACTATCTACAGGCAGGCTGCTGTGGTAAGTGCAGGGTTGGGAAGAGCAACAAATGGCCGTTACATGTTACGGCTGCTATCACCTTTATCATGTCTATTGGCACCTGCTAAAGCAACGGAAGCTGTAGTATCTGCCGCTACAGCAATACAGAGTATCCTTGCGACAGTTCGACCTCAAATCTCATTTGATGGTACCATGGGTGACGATCCAGTTTGGAGAGTCTTAGAGGATTCAGACGCCTTGAAGCATATTTTAAGGCGTCTAGAAGATCCTGTTGCAACAACATCTGAAATCGCGGAGTGCACCGAGGTCTTGGCGATGATTTTGGAGCGTTGGTCAGGAGCAAGATATAGAGTAGGTCAGGTTGGGGCAGTCAGATCTTCATTACTCAATCACTGCATGAGCAGCGACGGGGAAGTTGCGGTGGCCAGTTTGCAAGCATGCCAAGCCTTAGGTACTTTTCACATTTGAATACATATTGTCTACAATTCACGTATGTTCTTAGACATTGTCTGGAGCCAATCATTACAGGAGGATTGTAACAGGGATAGGGTAACAGCGTTATGTGCAGGTGTTGCAGTTTTGTTCTTGCAGGGTGGGGATCTTTTGTGGGAGACGCTTGCGCATTGTTTATATCAGTCCAGGCCTTTGCTTGTAAATCGAGAGGCCTTACGATTACTTTCGCTGCTTGGTGTAGGTAGACTTGACTGCCTTAGTCCTGGTCGGATTTTTCCAAGTTACGTCAACGTCAGTCAATTATGTTGGGAAGAATGAATTAATCCTAGCTATGCGTGACAGTGCATTTATGTTATACAATCTATACATGTAGAATTGGAGTCGGCTTAGGTATTATGAAGATCATTTTCACTGCTAGTACTGTGTTTGGAATTGAAATTAAGAGGTTATTATATTATTCTCTTTGTTTGTGACAACATTGTACGCTCTGTCAATGCAGTTCTGACAACTGATTCGCTGTTTGTTAGATTTCACTTTTGGGCGTGAATGTTTATATAACCTACATTGTGCAATTGCAGAGGTTGTCATCTTTTACTACATTTTTCAAGGGGCCGCATATTCAAGTCATCCTGGAGAGTTGTATAAGGAATATCAACGAAGGGAACAGGTGGCGACTAACAGTGGTAGAACAAGGGGTAGTGGTTGAAGCAGCACACACTACTAGTGTAATCCTGCGCTGGGCTGGCGAGCATCATAATATCGTGTTAGGATTGGGAATATTTAAAGCCATATTCTTACAATTGACAGTGGTAGAGACAAAGTCAGCCACAAATGCCAAATTTTGGGATGGTACTCCTGAGAAAGTTGATGTTGAATGGAAGTCTCGTGGGCCCGGAAAGGTGACTTCTTCATTACGCTCTCTATTATGGGAAATCATTGGCTGTTTGGCTGCCCACTCCAACTCCATGACTACAAAGGAAGTGCTTTCAGGAAGACTACCTGCAGGACCGGGTCTTGGCGGAATCACTGTGTTTGCATGGTGCGCACATGCTTACACTCTTATTTTCTTGAGTTTTGTTCGCTAGCCATTCTGGTAGCTTCTTTTTCACCTCTGGATGGAATTCCTTATGCTTAAATTATCTTCATTTTCAATGATGCGCAGCTCTAAAAGAAGTGTCGATCGTCACATTAACTAATCACACTCGTTGATCTCTTAGTGCAACACTGCTCCGAGCTTTACATAGAAGTGGAGATCACACACCAGTGACGACCGTGCCTGAATCTGGTAGCGGAGAGCAGCGTATCAGTAGTCAAGAGTTACTACAAATCTGCAAAACAATGTATCTTCTCCTTTCGTCGATTTCCCAGGATGTCTCTGCACCAACCAAGGCGTGCATGGAGATTGCCATGAAGTTTCATGATCAGACATGGCTGGCCCGTCTGGTTGAATCTTTAGCCTTTGGCCACACAGGTCCATCCCAAGTGAAGCCTGAGGCTGTGCAGACAGCTACGAACCTCTTTGCTCTGGCGTGCTTTACGTTCTTCCCTGAGTGTCGGGAGTTGCTTCCGCAGGAAAGGACCTTGGATGTTCTTATGGCAATTGTCAAATTATATGGTAATAAAGCGTTAGCAAAGAAGCAGCAGGCATCTTCTTGCAGTACAAAGTGGAGTTTAGTTCATCAAAGGGCTGGAATAGCTGCAAAAACTTGCTGTGAGGAGATAACAGAGGATTGGGAAGGTGCTGATACTGTTCTCTTTGCTTCCTTATGTGCTTTTACAAAACTGATGCAAGGGTCGTATCGAGCAAGAGTAATAGCCAAAAGCTTGCCAAGGGGGAGGCTCTCTGAAGCTAACTGTGCTGAGGCCCTGTATGGCGATACTGTCGGCTTGCTATGGAAACTAGCAGAAAGTACTAATGTGGCGACAGGTGTACGGTGGTGGGCTGCTGGTGGCTTAGCTTGCTTCAACATTTACGGATTTCCAAGCCTTCTGGGCAGGGACATATGTAAAATATTGGACGAATCCATGTTTCCTGACATTATCTTTCTTTTTAAAGATGGAAGGCGCCTGCTTGCGCATGGCGTTATTTTGACAATTCAATGCCCCTCTGTGTTACCAAAAGGATTAATTCTTAAAGAAAAGAAAGTAGTTGGGGATTATGTTGGACACGAAATACAACTTTCAAAAATGGTATCTTTTAATTCTTTCAAGGCCCTCCTGGAATATGTGTATTCTGGAGTAGTGCACCTCAACTTGGAGGAAGTTGATGAAATGAAGGTGCTCTCTAGAGGGTGTGGGTTGGACACTTTAACAAACTTACTCCATGGTAGAGCTCCAGTGTGGGGCCAGCCTCCAGCCTCGTGTAATCTAGCTTCAGCCTTGGATTCTGGTGGCTACCCATTTGCGTAAGTATTTGACTCTGCAAATCAACCAGAGTTTCATCGTTCTTTCCTCATGATTTCTTTGAACTTGGCGGTTACATCCTGCACTAAGGCATAGTGTATTGTATCATATCAAACCGTACGTATTAGTCTACATACGAGCACAGCTGTTTAACGTATTAATTTTTTTGCTAGACAGGGACATCATCCTCCGAGGAAAATCACAAGATGATACTATTGGTGAAGCAATTCCATGCAGATTCGAGGAAGGGTGCATAGAGACTTACACTCATGTACATGGGCATCGAATCATATTGTCCTCTCGTTGTGATTACTACCGAGGACTTTTTTGTTCAGGAATGCGTGAAAGGTAATATTTTGTTGTTAAGTTTATTTAATGTTTTAATGATGAATTATAGTAATATTTTATCCAGTTTCTCATAGGGCTTAAAGGTTGCAAAAATTATGTTATTGCGCTGACTAAAGATATCTTGATGCAATAATTTGTCAACATCAATGATAATGCCTCTAGAGTAAAGTGTGTTATTGACTTGATACAGGTTATTGTTTAATGGCTTTCTCCACTTGATTTTTCACTTTTGTCCCCCGCCTCTTCAATTGAATGTGAAGGCCTACTCTTGTCGAATATAATGGAACCAGAGTTGTTTCATTTGTTTGTGCAGTTCAGCGAAGGCCATTGATATAAACGTCTCTCAACAATCTTTACGGACGCTATCACTCTACTGGTATACTGGAAAGCTCACAAGACTTACAGAGACATCAGGGTGGTGTGCATGGAACAATCTAGAAGCAGATAAGCAGATCCGTTATCTTCAAAATCTAATAGAACTTGCTCAATTTTCCGGTCAACTGCTAATGACTGTCTTGCAAGAACAGTGCAATCTTCTGGTGTTGCAGCATATGGTGGGTTGTAACCAACACCTTGGACCTTCCGTTATAACCCATGCAGCAATTTGTCAACAATGGGAACTTGTCAATATGTGTGCTAACTCTATGGCTTCGGCCTACCCTCACCTGCGTGACACTGGAGCATTAGAACATCTTGACGAAACCTTCAGAGATCTGCTTCGGGCAGCACATATTCAATTTATGAGAGGTTTAGATTAATTCAATGCTTGTCGATTCTGCGTTTCATTACTTTCAAGTAAAGTCTTTGGGAGGAATTATGTGTGAGCGGCAGTATATTCTAGGTTCACTTTAAGGGCAACTTTCATGATAGTTTTGTAAGTAAAAGCATAGGTATGAGTAAAGTTGGATGTGCTCTTAAGAGGGCCATGCATGTGAGTCTTTCTACCATACAGGAGACCATGCAATGACGTGAATGTAATGTAGCTTAAAACTCATTATTGATGAATTCCAAAGGGAACCTGAAGATTTTTCGTCCAGTATTTCACGTTTGCCAACAAGAGTGCAAGCTTATTTGTTAACTTAGATAGTTGTGATGTATAAATCCTTGTATAAATTTCTTCTTTACTTACTGTGTCCATATCTCATTTGTTGTTATCTTAGTAGTCCTCATATATCTAGACCTTAATTTTAAATATTACAACGATTCTTTTTTTCTTTTCTATCAACTTCGATTTTTTGTATTAAATATCAAATGTTCAATAACAGCACAACTATCAGAATTGAGTACTGTGTTTATGGTACAGCGTAATTTTTAACTTGCTAGTGTTTCTATTTGTTGCATATAACATAATTATTCTATAAAAACATTGAATTATTTAAACATCAGCATAGTATAATTATCAAGTCCAAACGCTACAAAGCCACAAGATATTTTTGGTGGTGCATCAAAGGGATCTCTTTGTCCTCTAAAAATATTTTGTTGAAGAATTGTACACTTTAGATTTGTTGTAACTGATACTTAATAACTCTATTATATTTAAATTACAAGTCAGAAGTTAAGTATCTCCAAAAATATTTAATTACTTTTAGAATTCAGCATATAAATTATTCATGATCATTAAAAACTAATCTTCTCAAATAAAAAATTTAGAATTTTTTTATTTTTTTAATTTCTTACTATGTGTTCACCAAATAGTATAAGTGGAATCAATTCTAAGAAATTCACGGTCAAACTGGACCGAACAAATTTTATAAACACCTGTAAATATAGTTGTAACAAAAACAACCACTTTTAGTAATCTAAAACACCACTAATTAAAAAACTGCAAAGGAGAACAACATTTGAGTTAGTATTTAACATCAAAAATATTGTCTTATTTTTCTATAAGTTTGAATATGATTTTAGACAATTAGAGCAAGTTTTTGCTACTCAAGGAGCACAGGATTGTTGTCTAGACCTTTGATAATTGAAGGAGCAATATGATTGCAAACATAAACATTATGTTCCAAGTAAACAATACTGCATCACAAATGTATTTAAGATCATGAAGGCCAATTCAAGAGAGTCAAATGAGTAATCATGTTGGCATTGCTTAAATCAAAGGATGTGCTTGATTGGTAACGCTATTTCTCAAAATTGTCCTACAGGGCTACAAGTGTACTGAGAATCACGCGTTCTCTGTAACCTCTAATAGAAGCAGACCTCGTTCACTAAGCTGGTGTAGGAGGAAAAAGGTACGTGATAAGTTACTGAACTCAGGCTACATTAAGCCTTTCAAGGGGATCGAGGCTAATCTCCCTGCCTGCCATGTACAGAGGTGGTTGCTAAAAAATTCATGTACGTGTTTCGTACAATAAGATGCTTTCCTTGGTTGCTAAACAATATTGTTTTCAACTGGGATGTTCTCCGGTGAACCTGGCACACTACTTTCAGGAGTTGGATCGAATCTTAAAGATTCTTCTGTAGCACTAGAAGAGCTATCCGTGTTGATTCTATCTAAAGCATAGAGAAGCAAACCCTTGATGAATCGCTTGTAATGGCGACGGTATGTTGGTAACCTGGAAATTGCGGTAGCAATTCCCTGTAAACTGCAATGGGAACAAAGAGTGAGAACTTAGATATTGTACAGGCATGTGTTGTTAAGCAGGTAGAGGAATTTAACGCCCATCAGAACCAAAGAAAATCGCACATAGACAAAACAAAGGCTCTTGTAAGCTCGAAGTGTTTCGACAAATGCGAACTGGTCTAATAGGGTCTTTCAGGAATTTTCAGGCCATTACGAGCGAAAAGCTTGACTAACTGCAACATGATGCATTAAAGTCCAAATAAGTACCGGCGACTTAATGCTTGCAGCTCGCCTCTCCTAATATCGTTTACTGGCTCGACCCCACCGTTCTCCCAATCCAACATTCGTACCGGGTCCCCTTCCGTTAACACCAGCTTCTCCAAGTAGTGCTCTTCTACCTCGGTCAAGTTTGCAAATCGTAGCTGTTCTTTCAAAGTCAGAAGTGGCTCAAAGAACCAGTCAAGCATACGCTCTTGGGGCTTGTTCGCTGCGGTCAATTCTGTTCCATCACCTGCCAATTGTACAAAACTCTTTCTCGCATCAAAATTTGACCATCAAACCGGGATAGTTATCCATTGTGAATACCAGCACAAATTGTGCAGCGACCATTCAAGACCAGAGTTCTACCTGGACGGCTTCCACATGGAACAAATGAAATATACTTAGAAATATGCAATCTAAAATTGTAATTGTACTCTAAAACGCATGAATTACATATTTTGTCGCAGCAACAAAATGCGGCAAACTTAAGTTTATTGCATGAAATAAAACAGGTCCATGACAATATGCAGTTGAACAAACTACTCATCAGGATGAAAATATGGAGCCACTTACTTAGGAGGATCCCAGCAGAGTTGGACTTCGCAGACTCAAGAAGTGTATGAAGCGTGCAGTAGGCAGGAAGTCCACAAGCAACAATCTTCCACTTTGGACTCTTACCACCCCTAAGCCATCCATCAAGGTCCGCAGTATTCAACACCCCAGCTTCCACAAGATACTTGCCTCTTAGGTTGATATTTCTAAACGTATCTTCCCATATCTACAAAGGCCACGTTCAAGCCCAAAGCTAATGTTGTTAAACGAACGAAGGAACATACAACGTGCCCGTACCAGATCATAATAAAACAGCAAGATGAATAATCTAAAAGGACTCCACAACCAGGACCTGCAGCTTCATTACGTCTCATGTAATTCTCTTCATGTTCTCACACTAAATTCCCACACTAACTGACATGACCATAGCTAGAAACCAACCTGAACAAGCTTGACTTCTTGCAACTGTTGCCGGAGCGAACGTGATGACGTCATTTGTGGAACTGCTGTTGGACTGAAGATAGCATTGTCAGGTGACAATGGCGATATGTAAGTGCCTGGAGGCATTGGATCAGGCTTTGAGAGATCCTTCCGGTACCGAGGTCTAGTTTCAACACACGGAAACAACCATCAGGCACTGACGAACAATAGCAAAAGAATAACATCATAAAACTGTAATTCATACAAGTAAACAGCATAGCGTTGCAAATTTCTAAAGTGGTGCTTGATTAATGTTCAGCTTGTTCAAGAATTACCTTGGTAAGCAAGATCCTTCATTCAAGTTAAGCAAATCGTTCGTGTACTCGTCAAACATAGCCACTATCGACACCACATAAGCCAAGCCACATCGCAGCGAGTCTTCCTGCATTTACAGTCAGTAAATTGAGTTAGGAAATAACGGGAAAGAAAAGAAATCTTAATATAAAATGAAAATGGAAAATCCACCTCCCACTGATCATTTAGGCTGACACTCCATACACTAACAGAAAGCATGTCCCGCATAAAAAGAAGTGTTCACAATCCCAAACTTCACAACAATGGTCAAATTAAATTCACGGACCTGGTAGACAATCACAGCTCCAAAGAGCCCCAACAGGGGACTGGAGACAATGGCCAACAGGACGGACGCAACTACCACGGCAGGCCACAAAAGAAGAGCCAGGCCAGCAAATGGGACACACGCAGCTTCTAGGCAGGCACCATGTCGTCCGAGTAAATCGTGAAGAAGACGGCTCCACCCCTTGAAAAGCAAGAACGGACTCTTGACTACCGCTACCAAGGTAATGAGAGGAGTATCTGCTATTAATCCCAGCACTGCTACTGCCAGACACGCCGGTAATTCCAACAACCTGGAAACAGATCACGGTCAGTTTCTGACTCACATAGAATGCTTTGTAACTGAAGACGGCAACAGGTGGTAATGAAATTAGATTTGAGCATATGAAGTACTGAAAACATGAACCAGACGGGTTATCTGCTACAGTTATGAATGGAGTTAAAGAGCCTTTCTCACTGGTTAAGATCCATGAGAACGTAATCGCTTACTTAACATCCAAAGGCTTGCCATCTTTGGGCTCACTGGAGCGAAAATCATCAAGATAGTCACAATACGAGTGGACACAGAGATCTGTGAAGTCTCGGACGACAGTACATGAGCCTGTCAACGTGCTCACAGTTCCATCCTGTACGACAAAAAATGCCTTCTCAGCAAGTAGATCGACCAGTTTATCTTCAAAGTATTCATGTCGCAGAACTGGCACAACTATATTACTGCTCTCAGCTAAATGTATGGGGTATTGGAGATAAATATGGCAGAAATGAAGAGTCGTCCAACTCGAAGAAGATTTCATACACACCCTTTCCACTCCAAAATCTATCAAATCACTGAATGTGTCAGGCCGCACAATATGATAAGAGTTCTGGATAGATGTTCTACAAGGACAAGTCATTGTAGTAACAACCCACAAACCTCATTCATGCTCAGTTCAGAGATCTGAAGGCGTGAGATTAAAAGTAAGAAGGAAACACGAAAAATCCTACATAAAAAAACAATTTCGTAGAACTTCATATGGGGAGCTTTCAACTTTAAAACATACCACGAACGCATGGTAAAATTTGGACTCTCTGTTTTCTCCAACGGCTTCAAAAGTTGCAACTAAAGGAGTCCCGAATCCGTACCCTAACCCAACGAGCACGCTTCCCACAGCCACCAGCACTGGCCAGAGGAACAAAGGAACTGGCAACAGAAGAAGAGAGAGCAATTTCAATACCAACCCGAGCTTTTTGGTCCTGTAACAAAGTGAGCATCAGGTGAATCGTCAGTTCTATTCCTTCGATGGGGCATAAAATTGGGTTTGTTTCCTCAGAGCAACTGCTGGATATTCTTCTGATTCCAGTTCCATGATTTAAACCACTGCAACTCTACTCCATGACTAAAATCAGAACGTGATGAACACCAACCTTGCAATCGTGTTATACGTCATATAAACGTGAAGGGGCCACAGGATTACAGTCACTGATATATGCCCCACAAATATCACCATAGCTGCGGCAATGCCCACAAATAATCCTTCACATTCCAGAAAATCAGTTCAACTATGTCAGGAACTTCCCAGGGAGGGTTCTCAAAAACATTGCGCAAGTATTGAATCGCACAACTATCCAAAATAATTCCGTGAGATGCAGTGAACGAAGGTAAACGAGTTTAAGCGTGCATGTCTGGAGTGTTGCGTGGTAGTTTTGTTCAAAAAACCCTACGCTACAACCAAAGCACCCAGAGCAAGCCTCTATTCATAAATACATTGCACCTGCGAGAAAAAATAACCGTTCCTTTACCCGGAAAAGCATAAAATATTTCCCCAACAATGTATGCCCTGGTGAAGAGTATCAGGTAAGCAATTACCTTTGATGAGGCCGATGAAGATAAGAGCCGCGCACAGCATGACATAGACTAGAGACATGCCAATTTTGTTGAAGCATCCTCGCCAACAACTGGCTGAAGTCGCCATACTGCATTGGGAATATCTTGTTACCAGAGGCAAAACCTTGCTAATACAGAATTTTTGGTCTTAAGTAATACAGAGGTGGCTAGGTCAGATTATGAGCACGACTCAACCTGAGCCCGAAATCAATGAAATCCCTTACATGTCTTCGAGAGATGATAATAGTAACGAAACAAGACAGAGAAATTGAGCTTTTCATTGTGAGGACTTAACTGGGAATAAATAGCATAAGGACCGATTTCTATGAGGCTAGACCTCTCCGAACTTCACCGAATTCATCTTAGTCGGTAGACAGCGCTAGATAACTCTAATTATGGAAGTGAAAGCGACATGGCATCTCATCCGTGACTTACTCGATATCCTTGGAAACATCAGCAGTTGGGAAGAGAAATTGGACTCGTAAAAATTGGTTGAAGGCTTGTGCTTTATCTTCAGAAGCTGGACAAACAGCGAGGAGAAGAAAGCCCTTTGATTGAAAATGACTTCAACGACGCATCGACTTCGACAAGTTCCTCCAGATCCTTGGAGTCTGAAATTGGCTCCAAAGGCCACTAGTCATCATCCGCCTTGCAATGAGTGTCTTCTGCTAATTGCAGACTTCCGTGATATAACTGTGTGTCTTCAGAATCCTAAATGCCTGATAGATTCACTTGGATACCTATGTCTATCCATCGAGAGATAATGATCTCCCTGTATGTACTCAAAGCTCATTTTCAACGTGATCGGCCACTATCTGGACTTCGGACATCCCTTGCTGCATTACTAATGTAAAATGGGAATCCATAGCATCAGATTCAAAGCCTTCACATCATCCGCCTCTAACAGGACCGCTGCGCAATGACAGCTGAGAGCTTCGATTCATCGAAAGTGCAAGGCAATGCGCAGCATGGGCGCTGTCGTATACTGTCTGTACTTCTTCTGCCGCTACTTGAACCTGCTTCCTGAACCCACGTCCACATGGAAATACTCAATCCGCATGAAGACCTATAAAAAAACAATACAAGGACTATCAACGTCTAGCAAGATAAGCCATTCCTGCGAAAGGATAAATCTTTTGCGCCTCTATTCCTTAAATCCCTCTCGCAACACCTTCTCAAAGCAACAGGCGAAGCTCGCAATCGAGTAGAAAAAACGTTGCCACGAGCACAAGGGGCCCCACGTACCTGTACAAAAAGAAAAAATAAAGAACCTAGTCAGCCTAGAACATACTCTTCCCCATCTCCCGTCAGACAAACTCCTCACTCCCACCAATTCTTAGACGGTAAGCTTTGAAAACTACAGACACCACTTCCAAAACGGACAATCCACCACGACAACGACTAATCCAAAACAATAACACACATTGAACTCCAAGTCCGCCTGTTCCGGATTACCTCCCTCACAAGCCTTAACTTCCTCTCCCAAAAAAATGTAAAATCAAAAATGCAAAAGGAAGGTCAGCAACCAAAATGCCGTCACTATCATTCATTTCCTCAACATTCGCTTCGTAAGTTACTTGACGAGCGCTGCAGCATCCAATTGAAACTGTCACTTTCCCTGCTCCTACTACCCCAACCAAGACTCCTCCTCCTCCTCTCAAAACAACATCACAACAACAACAATTTCCCTCTCCTCCCTTCTCCTATTATGTCCCCTCTACGTCTCGACAGCTAAGACCACCAACCTATCGCCATCTCGAGTGCTACACAGAACAAATAATCCGAGGAAGAAGAGGAATAGAAATAAATAGACAAATCAAAACGAAAATGCAGAATGAGCAACCAACCAAACAAACCAACTCAACAAACACACGCACACACCATTGCTCTTTACGGCCGTTACCAAATTTTCCCGAGCGATTCCGCCTTCTCTCTCGCGCTCTCTCTATCTCTCCCTGCCCCGATTCTCGATGACATCGTCGTGACACCACCGAATCTTCAGCACAAGTCCAGCGATCTCTGCTCGCATTCCAAGCTCAGGGCGCCCATGTAATCCGCATTGCCGCCATCACCACGCAAGTCCCTCCCTCCGACCACCCCTCCCTGTTCAAGAAAGCACCATCCTACGCAGCGGCGCGGCTCATGAATGCCGCTCTATTTCTTTCTCTGTGACTCTCTTCTTTTACGTTGGTGGTTGTTTCTTTCCACTTGTGCGGCAGAGATCGTCCCATCTGGTCGGGAGCAGCGGCCGAGGCCCCTTCGCTCGAGCGCGCGGGCGGGGGGGCGGGAGATCCGGCCGTTATTTGGTGGGACTCGGCTGTGTTTCTGTAATCATCTCAGCATTTAATTCTCGTTCAAATGCGGTACTTCACTTTATGAAGCCAAAAAAGCAAAAAGGCTATTTTGCCTTTAACTTTTCCTTTCGATTTCTCCTCCTGAGATGACTGCTTTGCTCAGCGTCCCAGGTGGGGATTATATATTGCATTGCATTGGAGAGGGGGACGTGAAAAAAAAACACACGATTGGGCCCTGATATGTTATAATGTGAGGAATGAATGGTATTCGAACGTGGAAGAAAAGCATTTTGGCATTCAAACCCATCAATATGTCTGTCAGCAGCTGTGTGTTGGGTCCTCTGAGGTGAAAAAACAGAAATTTTAGAGAGTTTTCACCATAATAGAATGGTACAATTAGTTCAGGATTTGATTCTGATGGAAGTTGAGAAGTGAAAAGGAGCTTGTGGCGTATAAAATGTAGAAAATTGTGGTGAGCATTTTGTAATAATTAAGGAGGAGTTGAGTATGGAGAAAATACTTCTTTTTGGTAACAAATTTTGAAATGTCATTTCTCTATTGAGTGTTACAAGATGTTCAAAAAGTATATGAACAAACTTATAGCTCTTTCTGATTTGTAGACCAAGGATTGCTAACTAACTATGATATGGTAACAACCATAAGTGATAGGACTGTATTACTATGATGATGTATTTTCAGTTAAGAAAGATAAAAAGAAATGCGCATTGTCTAATGATTTTAAGGTTTTCTCCACAGTATTAGAAGCATGGAATGTGATGGTATATTGTACAATTAGTAATAGAATTGTTCTTGGAGGATAAGCGTCTTATATCAAGCAGTCCATAAATTTTCATAATGTAAATTTATTTGGATATATTTAAAATTTAAATTTGGATATATATATATATATATATATATATATTAGTATGATAATTTATATGAATTTATTATGTACAAATTTATAACAATAAATCATGTGGATTCAAATAATATGTGTTATTAAAAATTACTTGAAAGGCAGGTAAGTGATTTAATAGCACATATTTTCTTGTAAAAATAAACACTTGCCAACTATTATTCTTCAATCAATATACAAAGCAAAGAAAAGTTTTTACTGTTTGATTTGTCTTGAATTATGATCATGTTTAGGTTTGAACCCTCAAATGGTATTCCTTATAGATAACACAAAACTATTTTACATAGATGAAATTTGTAAAAAGAAAAAGAAAAAGAAAATATTTCCATTATTTCAAGTTTGCAAAAATCAGAGAGCTTTAATTTTTCATACATATATTTCTCAGTTTTCAAAAATATGTAAAAAAACAGATTAAGACAACATATATCATGATAATTCCATGACCATCTAGTATGTATAAAATATGTAGTATATCAAGCAACCAACAATTTGTTAACACTAACATGAGAAAGAAACTCAAATTTCCCTATGCATGATTTTTTCCCAAATGCAAACAGGTTCTTAATATGTTTTTACCAGACATTACAGTGGTGCACACAGTATTAGGTTCTTGAATTGTTACTTGCAAGATCAAATAACCATGAAACACTATCTGCTCAAAATCATTCTAAACCATCCACTGTTTGGGATTACTGTTTCTTGTATATTTCCCAGGTTAACATATTTGATAAAAATACTGTAAAAGACCATAAAGAAATTGGAACAAGAAAGTGAAAAGAATGTGATTGTCCATTCAAGTTGTGACCCAATGTCAACCATGGTTGTGAAGTGAAGTGGTCACAAAAAGCAACAACACTGGCTTTCACCTTGACCAAAATAATTGCTCACACACACACACAGGGAAAGATCCCACATGTGTATATATATATATATATAGTAACATCCATATGGAATATCCATTTAAGCTATCTTGTGTAATCTAACTCCTTCTCTCCTTTCTTCTTTCTCCTGTCTATTTTTGGGGTTGGAAAGCACACATGTTCACAAACCCCACTTATGTATTCAAAGAATTCTACAAAATATATATATAAGAATTCTTCCATTACCACATCAAGTCTCACATAGTTCTTCAATAAACATTTTGTTTGGTTAATGGGGACTAATGGATAAAAAACATTGTGTTCCTAACATTAGTTCAATCTCTCTCTCTCACACACACACACACACACACATATATATATATATATATATATACATACATGTGTGTGTGTATGTAAGTTATATGTGTATGTAATCATTGAATCATTATTTATTTTCATGCTGCAGCTAGTAAATAAATAAATGCCAGCTCCATGTATTTCTAGTGTTTTGATTTTTTTTTTTTTAAATTTTTTGCTATGGTCTTAGGACCAATATGTTCCAGCAACTTTACATGTTTAATTGAGTGGCACATTCTTTGTAGATCAATGAATATACACTATCAATATTAACATACATATCAGTTTTCATCTTAAAAAAGAAAAAGAATACCCACTAGTAGATGGGATTTTATGTCATTTTTCAATTTGCATAACTTATATTCCATTCAAGTTGGTTTTTTGTTGTTTTGTTGTTGTGGCTTTGAGACCTGGTATGAAGCATGTAAAATGTAGAAATTTGAAGAACAAGTCACTGTGTGTCCTCACATTATGTGCTCCTTCTACCCTCACGTCATGCCATGGATTCTCCCCCACTTAGTTGCCTATAATTTAAGGCGTCACACATTGGTTTTGACTTTAAATTGAAGCCTCATTAAAACCCAGTTCCATCTCAAGGTTCCGTCCAACGGACGTTGCGTTGCTGGCGCAGAAGGGTCCAAACTAGTTCCGACACGAGACGAGGTTCGCTTGAACTGGCTGTGGTTCTGAAATAAGAAAACTGGAGAATTTTTGCTGCAAATTCCTTGTTTCCACATAGATGAAAGATTCTACTCCAGCGGAACATGCGACCAGGACCCAATCGTCAATTGCTAGTGTTAGGGAAGCACGAAAATACGCAGATCGATAACTGAGTCCAACGTAGGAGCCCGCTTGAAAAACGATCCCGCTTGCAAGTCGCGCTCTACGACGCACACAGCAGTCGGTAATTGCGGCGGGAGGGGTGAGCGGGCGGACCTCAGTCGGCGCGAGGAGCATGATCCTCACCCCCTCAAACAGTTCCACCGCCCGCTGCCTCCCAGGGGCATGGAGCCGATACCACGCCAATTTCCCCGGACACTGGTTCTCTAGCAAGCGGCATTTCCTAACTCGGAACAATCTCAAGCGCAATGGCAGGCATTGCCATGATCGGAATCCATTAATGGGTACCTTCGGAACTCATTCACGAGGAGATCGAACGGGTGGAACTGCGCTTCCGGGCGCCCCATCACGGCTCATCTAGCTTTGATCCGAATTCGTCATAATAGTGGACGTAACGTTGACGATTGGACGAAAGCGCCGACGACGAGAAACTGCGTTGAATGTTTTGATGGCTGGACCACTGACAGTGTGAACAGCACCCATGTCTACAGGTCTGTTTATCTTACTGTCCATCCATCTATATCTGTTCATCCATTTATCTCTCTGTTCGTCCATTGAGTTGAAACATGCTTTGAGCCTTGGTACTATGAACTCATGTCAGGGCCCAGCCCATTGATTGCTTGATATGGTGCTCAAATAACACTTCATTAACACACTCAAGGTAACCATCATGAATGTTGACAGGAGCCCATGTGGGTGTAACCAGTATTGTACAAAACAAGGGAATTCTTTTAATCTTTGTTATTATTTATTTATTCATTTATTTTTTGCGGTAAGTGTTTCTCTGCTTACAATTTGAGGATCACAATGCCAGTTCCTAGCCCTATCACCAATACCACTATGTGAGGCTTAATCAACACTGGATGCATCCAGCATTGATTTAGCACTTTGATTATTGCTTTTTGAAAAATGTTGTGACACAGATACCTAGAGCTCATGTCCCCACTAAATTTGGACCTCTGTGCTTCATAATTGCTGTGTTTTAAGAGCAGGAATGTGGCATGCTTGTATAGTTCAATGAAGAAATCAGATGTCAGTTAACTTAAACACAAACTTTTTCCAACATGAGTCTCTTCTACTTGCAGTTGCTTCAGAATCTTCTTAACTTCATTCATTAAGATCATTTTTGCATGGGCTAGACTAGGGACACACCCCTTTGATGAGAAAGTGTCCAACCCTCCACCGTTTTGTGATAACTTTCATCATTTGAATTTGTGGCAATTTTTTTGCTGGGGTGCCATGGGAATAACTCTCTTTGTGGATTTTAGTTGCTCCATGTTTTCTTGAGAAATTCCATGACAACTAGGTGAAGTAGGTGTGTGGCTAGAAGATGGAACAAACTACCTTTTTGGTTACACAAAATCGTCAAGTGATAAGCTAACTCATGTTCATAGTGTTGAAATGGGCTTGAATTGGTCTGCTACCTGCTCATCTTGCTCTGCTTGGCCAATGACAGTATGAAAGTTGATTTCTTGATATTGGTTGTGAGCATGGAATGTTATCAAATTTGAATATCCACCAGTCCAGTACTACTCAAAGGCTGCTCCTTTTCCTTTCGGGTAATCCAAAGTGGAAGATTGGAGC